CGAAAACAAGAACTAGCCAAGGTCTGGTACACAGGAGTCAGGAAGCCGGCAAACAAGACAAAGTAGGGATAAAGAGAAAAATGGAGTCAGGTACAAAGCCAAGGTCAAGCACGAAAAAAACACTACTGAACGATACAAGCACTAAAGGGAACTGAGGCAGAAACCACGATAGGGCAGGGAGCTAAGGAAAAGGTGAGTATAAATACCCTCCTGTTCAATTTGATTGGCCCCTGTCATATCCACGCCCCCAAAACATAAGTGTATGGGGAATGTGGAATGACATGGGCCAATGGGAGACCGTTTTACTTTTCAGCTCCCACTGTCCCTTTAACAGCGGGCCCGAGACGCACGGCGTGCTCCCAGAGCCAGGTGAGCCACGTGACCGCGTCTCGCGGTCAGTGCACGCCTTCCTGATTTCTTCATCGGACGAGCCGCACGCGGCTCGTGCAGATGCAGGACCGCGCGGCGGGAACAGAGGACCTCGGCCAGCCCCAGGAGAGGGTTAGTACCGCTACAGGTACAAGATTCACCTAAACAGTCTACCCCAGTCTGACTTAAGCTATCTATCTCCCACTTAAAATTGGTGTCAGTGGCACTGACAGAAGATAGGCAGACGAGGGGTGTGGCCTAGTCTCTAACGTGGATGGTCACATGAAAGCTGAGCCCCGCAAGTAACTGGATGTGATCCATAAAACCTGGCAAAAACACAAGACAATGGGCTAAAAAAAACAGCACAGTACAGCGGGGAACACCCCTGCCACCAGCCCAGGGTCCTCAAAATCCTCCTTGCAGAGGTTTTTCTCAAAGCAAACAGAGTCAGGGTAGAGGAGCAAAAGGGCTGCTTCATGCAAGTGCGTGAAGCAGCCCATTTTCAAGCCCTCCGTGGAGCCTCAGAGTGCTCCACGGAGGACACTGATCTCAGTTCCTTACTAGCACAGCTCCCTTCAAAAACAGACCACACAGCTATGTTCAAGAAACTGGAGGAGAGCTTTAGCGAAAACCTACAGGTGGTTAGTACTGAAGTCCAGCAAATAGGCACTAGAGTCCAGGCCCTGGAGGACGACAGAAAGGCTGTGGATCAGCAATGGACACAGGTCCACACAGCCCAGCATCTGAACTATTTTTCCTGCAAATAAAGCTAGAGGATATGGACAATCGCGAGAGGCGCAACAACTCGAGGGGCCATAAAGGTACCCCATAAAGGTACTAACAGCCCTCCACAACCAGAGTCTAGCAAGGCCCCCAGACACAGTAAGTAACTTTGACAGGGCCCATAGAGCAGCGAGGCCTAGAAATCTACTGCAAACAAACCACGTGATCTCATCGCATCCACAACTTCCCACTGAAGTAAGAGATCATTCGCAAAGCACACCAACTCTGAGAGCTGAAATATGAGGGACACTCAGTCTAAATTTACCAAGACCTGTCTCCCACTACTATACTGGCTCAGAGGGCGTTACGGCCCATCACCCAGACACTTTTGGAGAAACATTAAATTTCGATAGAACTTTCCCTTTGCTCTTGTGGCAACAGCAAGGCAAGACATTCTATAACCAGACATACCGGACTTTCAGTAGGCTTTGGGCCTACCACCCATCGACACAGGATTGGACTGGACTGTCTGGCTACCCGCTAAAACAAATGCCGCAGAGACCCATAGGAACGTCAAAGAAGCGCAGAAGGCAGTTACCGCTGGGAGCCGACAACCCCTCCACGCCGAGAGATAAAGTCGCCTGAGTACACTTTCTGGTGAAAATATATATAATTTGCGCTATTACACTCCATTAATTGGTGAACCTCTGAGTTCCCACTGTTGATTTATCTGTTGCTACTGTTTCACAATTATGTTATGTTATAACTGAGCTCTCGGGACCCAAGAATTTGTTATTGATAGATTACATATAGAGGGTTACAGGACCCCAGGGGCTAGAGTTTCAGGTATAAGCAAAATGTATGTACTTAACACATGTATTAGGTGAGAGGTGAGTCTATACCTCCCCAAAAAATTCCATGGTTTACATGCAGTTCCCCCCAAAGTAACTAGGCCACTCACCCCAAGAGAGGTGCCTGGACACGGTAGCATTTCTCACAAGTGTAGCACCATACTCAATTGCAGTATGAGCAATTCTGACCATACCTGTGTATATAGTTCCTGTTTTCTTTTTGTTTTTATTTTGCCTTTCCTCCTTTACTTTCACATCCTGCACATCATCACCCGTTACGGTGTTTCATCTAGGGCTTTAAGCCAAGCAAGATACACACCATGCCTTCCGTATGGCCCAAATTAATCTATTGTTACTGAACGTGAGAGACCCCAACTCCCCAGAGAAACATACTATGCTAGCATAGGTGTTAGGCAAGGGGACGATATCATGTTTATCCAGGAAACCCACTACAAGGGGGATTTTCAACGAAGACTTAGATGTAAAAGAATACACCAGACAAATTATAGCAACTATTGTAAGGGGAAATCAAGGGGAGTTGCAATTATGATGTTGTCCCATATTACTTTTAAAGAGTTTGATGGCAAAATTGACCAGGGAGGGAGGTTTTTATTCATCAAGGGGAAATTCAATGACCATCTCTTTACTCTGGCCAACTCTGGCCAGGTATCCTTTGCCCGCTCATGCCTGCAGAAACCTGAGGGTTTCACAGAGGGGACCCTAAGGAATATGGTGCTGGAGCACTCACTGAATAGCTCCACTAAAGCCAAAGATGCACAGCACCACCAGCAGACACTGTTTTTAAACACGCTACAATAACATCAACTGCTGGACTGCTGGTGACTAATACACCCACAGGAAAGGGATTACACGTTCTACTACCCAGCAGCAGGTAGCTACTCAAGGATAGATATGTTCTTCCTGGGCCACAGACACCTCCATTTGGTCAAAGAAGCATCTATTAGAAACATCTCGTGGTCTGAACATGCTCCTGTTTTCTTAACCATAGCCATGTAGGGGGACACAAGGTGTAATACAAACTGGCACTTAAACGAGACCCTTCTATATGACCCAAGAGCTATGGAAGATCTCCGCACAACACTATCCAACTACCATACAGAAAACACCACACCTTTAGGTATGGGAAGCTCAAAATCAGTTTATCAGGGGTGCTCTGATCAAGTAAGGATCTAGAATTAAAAAGGAACGCACAAAACAATTACACTACCTTGCTATTGCCATGCACAAGGCAGAGACCATTCATAAACTGGCCCCTACTCAGGAGAAATTCCAACACCTAACTGTACTCCGAGTAGAACTCCCCTCCCTACTGGCCCTGAAAGCACATAGAGCAGTCCAAATGACACAGTGCTCCTTTTATGCTCACGACAATAAAAGTGGGAAATTACTGGCTAGGGCTTTGAAAACGAGAGTCCAAAAAACATCTAAGCTTAAATAAAAAATGGGGACAGGACACAGTGCAACTGAATCCATAGCCTTTTCCTTTAGTGACCTCTAAAACAACCTCTACAACCTGATCCCCCCCAACTGCACCCCCTAAAGCCTGAGGGAATATATTGCCTTAAACCTCCCACTCACTGTACCTAGCATAGTAGCAGACCAATTAGAAGTGCAATTCACAACTTTAGAACTCTCCTCAGCCATTAAAACCATGCCAAAAGGCAAAAGCCCGGGTCCAGATGGCCTGTCGGCACGCTTTTGACAATTGTTTGAATCTAATCTGGAACCACATTTACTACGAAAAATCAATAGATTGACCACTGGCTCCCCTTTCCCACTACTGATGCTACGAGCATTGATTACTGTCATCCCTAAACCAGGGAAGGACCCAATGTCCTGTGACAGCTATAAGCCAATCTCTCTTATAAAATTGGATCTGAAGTTATTCGCCAAACTTATAGCCAACAGGCTCAAGCCCCTTCTGCCTGGACTGATTCACCCTGATCAGGCTGGATTTGTTCCTGGTCATGAGGTCAAGATCCTCAACATTATACATGGAGCGACCACAGCCAAAACACCAACACAATTGATGTCGAGAAGGCACTCGACAGGGTGGATTGGTCCTATCTTTTTGCAACCCTAGAGGCATTGGGGCTTGGGCCGTGGCTAAGGAACTGGATTCAGGCACTCTATAGAGGGCCCTCAGCCAATGTTATGGTTAACTGAGATAAGCAATGGTACACGTCCGGGTTGTCCCCATCCCCCCTCCTATTTGTTCTTGCCATGGAACCCTTTCTAATGGCCATTCAGAACAATAGAAATATCCTGGGGCATAAATATACAGAGGGAGAGGTTAAGATCTCCGTATTTGCGGATGATGTCCTCCTCACGATCACTGATCCGTTACGCACTTTACAGCATGTCCAGGCAGAAATAGAGAAATTTGGATCCATATCGAATTTAAGATAAATGCTAACAAATGAAAAATTCTAGGGGTCTTTGTGCCACTGAGATGGAAAGAACGCATACAGGAAGCATATAAATATAAGTGGACAGGATCCAAGCTCACTTACCTAGGGCTCCATCTAGCACTAAAATCCAACGACCTATACAAATTGAACTACTCCCCCTCATAGAAGACCTAAGACAAGATCTCCAAAAATGGGACTTGCCATACTTTGCGCTAATGGGTAGGGTTAATATCCTGAAGACGATGGTACTTCCTAGGGTGTTATACATTTTTCAGGCTCTCCCCATCCCACTGTCAGGAGAATTCTTTCGCACTATGCGGACAATCTCACATCCTACATATGGGGCAATTTTTTGTTTGGGTTGGGGAAGTTATTGGACCAAAATAGGAACCTATACAGAAAGAATGGGACTGTGCTTTTTCAAAAATAAATATGTGAACAACTGAGCTGCATACCACAACCACCTACACAAATTAAATATTGAATACTTTGTACAAAGATAACAATCAACCAATAAAATTTAAAAATATAATTTATTGATCCTCATATATTTAAAAGGCTATTCTTAACAGCAATGTTTGCAATTTCTGTTAATAGCATTTAAAAAAAATACATTTAAAATGGGGGGTGGGGGAACCCTTCAAAAAAAACTGCAAAAAATAAAAACAGTTTTCAAAAATTCAATAAAAGAAAAAAAATAGAGACTTGCACTTCCCCGTAATAACCTCACTGTAAGGTTGATTTTTTTTTTTCCCAATCAGGAATAAATGAAGTATAGGAAAAGCCTTCATTAAGGCCTGATGGGGACAATGTTTTTAATTTGTATACCCAGTAGCTCTCCCTCTGAAGTTGACTGTCTGTGATTTGATTAAACCATATGATCATTAAGGTCACCACTAAAATCCCGCAATTGGCTGTAAACACAATTATAAATCATGATAAAAAGGTATACCATGAATTACACATGAATGAATCAATTTATGTGATACTAAACATCTTAACACTATAAAAATTGCGATCAATTCAGACCATACACCAAATATTGACAGTGAAAGGGTTAATGATATTCCAACACTACAAGATCTGTGATTAATTTAGATCACACATTAAATACTGGCAGTAAAAGGGTTAACTATTTCCCAACCTATGGTGCCTCTGAATTCAAAACTCGAAAGTAGGCAGCCTTAAATAAGGCATGTTCTAAAACCTTTCGATCATTATTATTATTATTATTATTATTATTATTATTATGATATTTATAGAGCGCCGTCAAATTCCGCAGCGCTTTACAATGGGTGGACAAACAGACATGTAGTTGTAACCAGACAAGTTGGAGACACAGGAACAGAGGGGTTGAGGGCCCTGCTCAATGAGCTTACATGCTAGAGGGAGTGGGGTAAAATGACACAAAAAGGTCAGGATAGTATTAGACTAGTAATCATCTTTGTATAAGCAGAGACATCGACGGGATACAGTAATTTAAAACACTTAGCATAATAACAATGGGTTAAAAATATTGAGCAATTTGATCGAATGTAATTTGATTTAATCAAATGACTATTAAGGTCACTACTAGAATCCTGAAATTGGCTGGTAATACCTTAAGGGGTGGTATGTACATTGAAGAAAATTAACCTGAAGCCATGCAGCTGCAATCAGGCGGCATCACTTGATTGGCTGCTGACTCAGTGGCGGATCCAGGGGGGGGCAACGGGGCAATTGCCCCCCCCCCCCGAGAAATCCGCCGGTCTCCCTCTTCCTCCCCTGCCAGCAGCACATGCAGGTGCTAGCCCTGCAATGTGCCTGCGGACCGGGGGGGAGATCAGAGATCACCCTCCCCGGTCCGCCGGAAGCTAAGGCTGCAGCTCCTCCGGGTCCTCCACGGCAACGCTCCAAATCTCGCGAGAGTGAATTCTAGCCCTGGAGCGCGGGCTAGAGTTCACTCTGCCCACTGGACCACCAATGAATTGCCCACGGACGATGGACCACCAGGGAAATGTCCCCCCTCCCCCCCATTAAAGGTAAGAAGGGAGGGGGGACATATTGATTATTTATATTGAATTAAATAATTTTTAAAAAGCCCCCCTACCCTTATCACACACACACTCTACACACACTGCCCCCCATACACACTGCCCCTCATACACACACACTGCCCCCCATACACACACACATACACACTGCCACCCCATACACACACACACTGCCCCACACACACTGCCCCCATACACACACACACTGCCCCTCACACACACTGCCCCCCATGCACACACACACACTGCCCCCCATACACACTGCCCCCACACACACTGCCCCCCCATACACACACTGCCCCCCATACACACACACTGCCCCCCCATACACACACACTGCCCCCCTACACACACACTGCCCCCATACACACACACTGCCCCTCATACACACACACTGCCCCCCATACACACACACTGCCGCCCCATACACACACATACACTGCAATACTCACATACACACACTGCAACTGTTACACACACTACAACCTTCACACACACACACTGCTCACACACTGTCACCCTCACACACACACACACACTCCACCCCTTACACATTGCACCACTCACACACACCACTGCTCCTATGCCCTACTACTGCCCCATTTCCCTGCATACCTCAGGTAAGGTGTCAAACTGTTCTTAAACGGTTTGACTACTTACTTTGGGAGGGGGTCCCGGCACTATTGACACCATAACCACTACACTGAGCTGTAGTGGTTATTTTGTCTGGATTATTTATTTAAATAATCTACAAGTGCCCCTCCCGAGATCAGGCTCTGGATCCGCCACTGTGCTGACTATGGATCCCACATTGGGCTAATAGTTTAAAAGGTGATACAGAGCCAGTCTATATCAGACCCCTGAAGAAGGTGCACATGCTGTGCACCAAAATGCAGTCGGGCAACCTTAGAACTTCACAGGGCACTTTATACACATAATCACGTTGGTGTATTATATCATGCACACTTTAAACATGATAATTTAAATTAGCATGTGACTTTTCCTTTTCTCTTTTTCTAAACTCTGACTATTTAGTTAGTTTACCAGGGAGAGAGGCTTCTTCTTAATCTACGCTTTATTATTTCTCAGTTTGAAGGAACATAGTGTCTTAGGAGATGTTACTATTCATATCTTGTTTTATTTTGACATAAATATCTATAATGTCAATTTAGGTAAAAGGTTTGTATCAACATTTTAAGGCTTGTATCAATTAGCCTCAAGATAATGCTTCATTAACTCCACATATTGGAGTGAGCATTCACCTTAGCTATATAGTAAAAAGTAGCAAAATAAAAAATGAAACCATTTTTCCTCTCAGTGGTAAGTGATGTATGCTAAGTCAGTATTTTAAGTAGTTTTATTTTTGAATGTGTAGAGGCGTTGC